CTTTGTTCGCTGCCAAATAGTACATACAGCCACATCCTCATCATATAACGTTATCGTTGCGTCATAGTAAACAATTTTACATGGACAAAACGACCCTCTGCCTCAGACAACCGACCTTGAAATAATCATCATAATATAATATCGCAATAAGTTGCCGTCATTACTGATGCTATCGCAATAAATGTCCACTTTCATATCTGGTTTTATTAACCATCCGGAGCGCAGATAATGATTATATGATTCATGTGATATATGGTCAGATACATTTTCACACTAATGATCAATTTAATAATAAGCCAAACGTGCTGAGAGACATTACAGTTTGTAATGCTGTAATCCAATAGGACCGTGGCACCATAGAACATAATGATATCAAAACAACCCTCGTGTCATACGGAATCTTCAATGGAGTAGCCCCTGTCCAAAGTCTGTCGAACAAATACACCCTACAGTACGTTCTCCATCAGCTGGAGGTCTTTCAGGTCTTCAAAACATCATTGTCAGCTTATTCACCCGCCTCGACAAAAGTAGGTCAACATTGCTCAAAAGAAATTGAAATAAGGACACACACTTGACAAAAAACAAGTCTTAAAAAGGTTTTCGAGGCTTGGCGTTATCAAACAGTTTACGTGGTAGTTGGTGGCTTTTAGCGACCTAGACAAACAAGTAGAGTGTGTACAGGCCGCTTGTGGGGTCAGTCTGTATTGTCCTTAGTTGTAATCATTACCATCAGTCTGGAATGACAGCAGAGGAAGATGTCACCGTCAGCATGCTCGTGAGACATCATGGAGTCAGATATATCGTCGTCTTGAGGATCTTAATGTAGATTAAAGTTGATGTAATCAATACATAAGCATACGATTTTATGGATAACAACACCGTTTCATGGATGCTCACTGCAATACATACGATATTATGGATAACAACTTGTTGCTTATTGCATAGATTGCGCATACAATAGAACAATAAAATACGTGTTATTTATATAGAAGTAAGCTTCATTATTGACTGACCAACTTTTAGAATACCGATCAAATATCGGCCGATGATTTATTTATGTCCTTCTATAGATGTTCAGTAATTTCTCGAAGTCCTCTAGAACATTGGAAATATGTATTCATCGGTTCATTCGAGACAGCCAGAATGCCGATATTAGACCACAGGCTATACATTTGAATAGTCTTAAGCAGTACATGGGGTTAAACTAGTTCGAGTTAACAGGGTTTTATAACATCGAACACCTCACAATGTTATTTCTCGAACACCCGGTGTTTCCGTGTGGTAGTGATTTGATTGTGACTTATAAACACTTTGTTACGACAATGTTAATCTCGCGTCACGACAAGCATAGGTCGCTCAAGATCAGTTAATATTTTCAATAACGATGCATCTCTTCATATGACAGCAAAGTTGAGAACAAAAGGTACCCCCAACCCACCATACATAAGTAACATATATACATTAAAAGGAGCAAAGGCATTTAGAATACATATTGTTCGACAAAATGAGTTTTAACTAGAAGCGAGTAGGGAAGTGTACATTTTTTAGAAGAAATCAGATTCGGTCTCTACGAATATCCAAATAAATCCCGTTGTTGTCGTTAAACAATCGCCTTTTCAAATCATTATAAACATATCCTATTTGTTCGACATTCTTCCTGCAAACCTTGTATTTACGCAACGGCTTAACTCCACATTACACTTGCCTGGAAGTCAGAACAGTATTCAGGTGTTAAGACCAACGACAACGTGGATAATACCTGGTTTAAAGGGACCTCATATGTGGGTCCTAGTAAGATTGATTTACAGTCAATTAATGCCAGCCCTTGATGACCCATTAAAAGGCACAGACACATAAATTGCGTTGCGCAGTAAAAGTATGGTGGAACAGGATATTAAATAACGCCGACTCATGTTTTCGTGTGGTGAAGGATCCTCCCACGAATATAAAATTAAAGCCATTATTCAAACGCGTTCAAGGAGAAATATACTCCCAAAAAAGAAACGCATCATGAAAATAGCAATTTCATGTAGCAATGAATTAAAACGTGATTCATTTTACAAAAGGTTTTGCTCTGTTTATGAGTCCTATGGTGTTTATGTTTTGAAACATCACAACAAAACGCACCATCCGTAAAATACCCGTATTTAAAAGCTTGATTTTAAATTTCGGCGTGTAGTGCAATGCACGTGAAAGTTGGGGATCAGATAGTCTCAATGATCGGTATAAAAGGTTGATCGCTGTCTGTCGATTATTCACTGTATTTGGAATATTGTTGACGATCGCAAAATGCCACGTCTAAGTGAAGCCAGCCGCCATATCGCCATTGGTTTGCTTGAAGCTGGCCAGTCTCAACGTGCAGTTGCCCGACGCATGAATGTTCACCAAAGCACCATTTCACGGCTCTGGGAGAGATATCGCCAGTAGAATGCGGTAGCAGATGCCCCTCGTAGGGGGCGACCTCGAGCGACCACTGCGGCGCAGGATCACTACATCCGGGTACATCACCTGCGTTATCGAACAGCTACGGCAACCAGTACCGCTCGACAAATACCCGGATTGAGGAGGCTTTCTGTACAGACCGCCAGGAACAGGTTGCGAGAGGCTGGTTTACGTGCCAGAAGACCTTATTTTGGCCCTGTGCTTCGACAACAACATCGTCGATATCGAGTTCAATGGTGCACCAACGTTCAGGCCTGGAACCTACCGAATTGGCGTAGAATCTGGTTCAGTGATGAATCACGATTTCTATTGGAACGATGATGTGGGGAGCGATCACCTGCCGTAGGAGAAGTGATTTGGTGATGGTCCAGGGCAACCTGACAGCACAACGGTACTGTGACGAAATCCTACGCCCACACCTCCTTCCAAACATTGATCGCCAGAGGGAGTTCTTTCAACAGGACAATGCCAGGCCCCACACAGCACGTCACACTAGAGACTTCCTCCAGAACCACAACATCAATGTGCTCCCCTGGCCCTCAAGATCACCGGACTTAAACCCGTGTGGGATGCCCTGGACAGACGGGTGCGACGCCGTAACCCTCAGCCCCAGACACTTCAGCAACTCGCACAGGCACTACAGGCAGAGTTGGCTGCGATTGGGCAACACGAGATTCTGAGACTTAAGTTGATGGTCACGGTCACGGTGGTCACACGAGGTATTGACTTCAGCGCCACCGCACGTCTCCACGTGACACTCAAACTGACTTTCCTCGAGTTGGTGCCAAAGATGGATACGTCTGCATTCCCAGTGTGCAATTTCACTATATTTCATTGGCTCATAAAGCCTACAAGATGTTTCAAAATAAACATAAAAATACAGTTGAAATTCCTATATGCGTTTCTTTTTGGGGCGAGTATATAATTAAATGCTAAGTGTCTTATTTATAGTTTAGTGTCTACTTCTTTATAGGGGAATATGGGTACCTATCGTTAAACGGTACATTGCTCTTTCAAGAGATGCCTTTTAATGAAAATTCTACTTCAGAGTATTTAGGAATTTTAATTTAATTTGAATTAATTACGCTGTTAATGATTAGTGTCTTCGGGTAAATTGAAGCGTTTTAATGCCCCAACAAACGGAAACTCTTTAGTGGTCATATCCGTTAGGTTGAAGTGGAAGATGAACGTTATAATGATAGTAACAGATTTACATTATAAGAGCATGAGACCTTCTTTCTTCCCACGAAAGAAGGTCTTCCCACCTGTAAGATATAAAACACAGTACAATAGGTCAATGTAAATTCTTATCAGTGTTCAGAAACAGCCAGAGGTCCACTTGGAAACTGAGATGTTTATCTTAATGGTCGTGAATACCAGATATCATCGATGAAACATCAAAGAACATCCCTCAGTTGAGTAAGTGTTGTAGACAATCAAATCACAAAATACATGTAGGCTGTAGCTTGAAATCATTGCCATGTGAGTTCACTTCCCGTTATGCCTTTTACATACTTGACAAAGTTGTCCTTGCGTCTCTAAATATTAATGCATGAATATGAAAATATGACATGCGGTTACTCAACCATTTGGGTGATCTTGACCTTCTAAATGAAACCTGTATTAAACCGTCGTCAGGTAGACACTACCAGGGCATACACAGTACACGATGTAGAAAGTACAATTTATATCCTATCAAGGGTTAAGTGTAGTGAATAGGATTAAGGACAAGGTATATACTTTATGATACGGTAAATATGACTAACATATACAAACATTCCTCAGACGCTTATTCAGTTAGTCAATGATTCTATTCAAAGTCTATGTATACTGGTTGGAAGGTGGTCGTATTCAGATATTAACAAACAAGTTATTTAGGGGCAGTGTCGAGTCTGTGGAATCGGAACACGTCTTTCCTGTTTCCGACACCCACATGTGATCTTCGCTGCTTCGTCAGTTAAAACACAGTCACTGACAATTCAAAGGATATGTGACAAGTATGGATTGGCATAGTGTTTTCGGCTTCACACATTTAATGACTTGCTCTATATACTGCAATGATAGGGATATATATTATAATTGAAATATAGTTATTGCACACTGATACGCGGGGATATCATTTAACTTGTTTCATTGTTTCACTTGTTATACTTCTTTATTACATATGTGTTGCACAATATTTGTCAAATTAAATAGTTAGCATGTGATTATATTCAAATTGCATTTTGTATTATATTGTCATAGCCGTAAGAAAATGAGCGTTAAGTTTTGGTGTGTATTATCAATGAACTTCATAAATGGTGTGTCATTGTTTACATTCTATTGAACATTGTTTGCATTCTATTAAACAATGGTTTCATTTGATGAAACTAGCATCTAATGGACAGTGCATGTCTAAAACAAGTTAAAACCAGAACGCGTCTCCGTCTAATATTGGGGTATAATGAGTGAAGCCCATTTCTGCTGTCCTCAGCGTGATGTTGCTGAAATATTGCTAAAGGCGGCGTAAAGCTGAACTCACTCACTCTAATATTGGGGAAAGTATCGACAGTACTTACCATTTCCACTCGATGCCCTCTTTCTTCACAACCACGTATATTCCTTCTATAATGAAAGGCACTGTGGCCAGTGTCAGCAACCAGAACTGGTCATTCTTCCAGACATCGGTCACTCTCCAGATGGCGACTATATTGTGCAAAAACAATACCAGTCTAACGGTCACTGCCTTGACGATATTCATCAAGGCCATGGTGCAAGATCACACCCAGGTGCCCAGTTAGTCTGTACACGCTATCTACACGAGGGAGAGTAGAGCGCAGCCAACCCGTCCCGGTGCTTTAAGCTACAGAATGAGGGACTGCTGCTTGAACGTAGGTGAGCACCTTGTCTCACCCCGTGAACATTTAGTTCCGCTTCTGAAGTAAGGTATGGGGAGCTGGTACCCACCAGTCGGGTATTTAGCCTGGTTTACTCATTGGCTTGTAACATGATGCCTCGTCTAAACTCGTAGACCCGCCTCATCGCTACCCCTCGCACCGGGCGCACTTGTGACTGTTCGGAGCATGCGAGGGCTAGTTGTGGGCATGTGATTGTGTATTGTGAGTACAGGGTCTTTCCTGTATCATATATGACACCCTTTATTGACCCTCGTATGCTCCTTCTCAATACACCCCATTGAGTGAAGGTAACGCATGACATGACTCTTGAAGCTTGTCCGAATCTTTTATCATCAAACGACACGACACCTTATTTTATTTCTTTATAGGGGAGGTAATGTCATGTTTGTGAAAGGAAATAATGACAATTTCACAGAATAGTTTCACACGTCATTCGAAAAGTTACAGCATGTGCTCTCAAAACAAACCAACAGGATGCCATGGAAATGAGAAAATCTGCATTCAAGATGTGTGACTTTTTTACGAGCCACGTATTCCTTTATATGGTGGTGCTATAGCGCAAAGACATTTTATATACTGTTTCACGTCAACAGCTTTATATGTTCTCAAGGCAAACAACATAAAAGGGAACGTATGTATTTGTATGTGCAGGTGAATACAAATATCTACTTGCATTTCCTCGCGTAATTTGATCCCTGAGCAATGCACCTTGTTAATTCAATGTGTGTGAGTACCGTGAGGACGCTGTCGGCCATGTCTGGTTCAGAATCGATTACATACAAAGCAATGAGAACGTAATTTTGCAGTTTGTGGTTGTAAGAATGATGAACATATTTTGTTCATAGCGTCAAGAGTTACATTCTCTCTATATGCTCCGAAAACATTACATTATTAGCTGGTAACCAGAATATTTTGCTTGATGAGTGAGTGAGTGAGTGAGTGCATGCGTGAGTGAGTGAGTGCAGAGTGTCGCGACGGGAGACAAGGGCTTAACAGTGGAATCGAACCCGGGTCTTCTACCTGATGTGCGAACGCTTAAATCGGAAGACCAATCATAGAGTGGTTGGAAGTTGGAACCTACGACGCCCGTCCCTAAAAGGAAAGAGACTGGTGTATATGTGAAAGGACCCTTTCGTGTTAATTCTGCCGTCCCGCCCCCTCCCCCCGAGTCAGTGTACATAAAGTTCCTCTTAAGTATGACTAGTAGTTTAAAAAAGAAAAAATCAGGTAACACGTCATATTGAAACTGCTTTTATGTTTTGAAGTAATTCAAATTTGTAATTATTTTCTCAAAGGGATGCTTGGAGTGAATACGATTTTACCTTCACTTCAGCAGTAATGGGGCAGCAACACGACAGGGCAACACAAGAAACATGCTCCATGCATTGTACATATTTTGGTTATTAAAACAGGATCAATGACGATTCTAACTTGCACTTTAATCTCTAGACCGCCCACTCCCCGTAGGTGACAGTGTTAATAGTAATTTGGATGACCAAATCGAATGAACAACGAGTACCCTTGTTCACGTATAGTAACAGCACGAACCATTTCCCCTGATGTATCCTGTAAACACAATTTAGTATCTGTAGAACAATCAGTAAAGCGTTGAATTATTTGAAAATGTGGGTCACATCCTGTTAGTACAGTTTGTCCACGTGATACCTGTGTGTGTACAGACAGAATGAATTATCACCCATAGGGTTCATGGGCTGATAGTATGAGTCATCTATAAATTTGTTATTACATTGTGCAATATATGAAATTATTTTCAGACAGGAATACATTTTGTATGTTATTTTCTTATCGTTACCTCAGTGAGTGAGTGGGGTTAGAGCTATGTGTTACTGTGTGTACACTTGCTCAAATATTAAGGTGCTGCAAGTCCAACAGTATTATACCTCCTTAACAATGAAAGATGGTGGCAGGTGGTTGTGGAGTAGTCGGGTGTCTAGAGTGAGTGAGTTTAGTTTTACGCCACACTCAGCAATATTCCAGCGTATATGGTGGCGGTCTGTTAATAATCGAGTCTGAACCAGACAATCCAATGATCAACAGCATGACCATCGATCTCCTCAACTGGGATACGATGACATGTGCTAACCAAGTCAGCTAGCCTGACCAGCCGAGCCCGTTTGTCGCCTCTTACGACAATCAATTCTAACACGGGTCTTCACGGATTGCGACGTTAGCTAAACATATTTTTCTTATAAAACATGCATACAATTATTATTACATGTATCAAATGCACGATTCACGTTTTGACAGCTTATGTAAACATTCACCAACAGGATAAATGAAACCACATGGTCCTTGCCAGTCTTTTTCTTCAGAACGTTCTGTTTAAACCACATATAGTCTTGCATACACGGGTGTTAGTAGCACAGTAAACTACGGTTATAACGAACTCGAAAAGGCCACTAATTTTATTTTTAACCGTAGTTCCTTAAACGCATATAAACGACTTCAAACAGATAGTTATATCAATCAGTTCGGTATAAGCTATTCGTTGCCTGTTCTTTGACATGGGGGGTGGTGGGGTAGCCTAGTGGTTAAAGCGTTGGCTCGTCACGCCGAAGACCCGAGTTCGAATCCCCACATGGGTACATTGTGTGAAGGCCATTTCTGGTGTCCCCCGCCGTGATGTTGCTGGAATATTGCTAAAAGCGGCGTAAAACCAAACTCAGTCAGTCAGTCAGTCTTTAACATAAATACCTTAATTATTTTTAGTTAACAACATCAACGGAAAACCAATACGGTTGATATGAACCAAGTACTTCAGGCATACAAGTGACACAGCATGGTACAACCCTTTCTTTTTCTGAAAAATAATCAGATTCCCCTTCTAGCTGTGAGTCAGGGAAATCCGCGCCTTTGCTTTCGTTAATCCGTTGACTGTTGACCCCTGACGAGGAATCATCCATTGTCGGCGAACACCGAGGATGGCGTATTAGCTTGAACATGAATTCAACCATTGTCAGTTGAGAGAAACAAGCCTCGAGTTGAAAATGAGTTCTTTTATTAGATCTGAGCCTTGAACCCTGGTTTATACAAACTGTGAATTGTAAACATTCCAAAGACAGTAGTGCCGGTGACAGTACAGGATATGTCTATACTGATGGTTGATGGGTCTTGTTCGTGCATATTACAGACTACAGTGAGTTCTTACTTTCAGAATCATCCAGGATGAAAATGTAATAAGCAATACCACACACTGACAAACTGGACTATTCTTCTGTGCCTAAATTGGAATTCAAGGGTTGGTGGTTAACAGAAATGTGAAAAAATAGGTTTATAGGCGAAATTGTTTTGGGTCTTACTATCTCCTACGTAGTACTTAATATTTCCTACGTAGGGCTTAGTATCTCCTACGTAGTACTTAATATCTACTACGTAGGACTTAGTATCTCCTACGTAGGAGTTAGTATCTCCTAAGTGGGTATCTCCTACGTAGGACTTAGTATCTCCTACGTAGGACTTATTATCTCCTACGTAGGACTTAGTATCTCCTACGTAGGAGTTAGTATCTCCTAAGTGGGTATCTCCTACGTAGGACTTAGTATCTCCTACGTAGGACTTAGTATCTCCTACGTAGGACTTAGTAACTCCTACGTAGGACTTAGTATCTCCTAAGTAGGTATCTCCTACGTAGGACTTAGTATCTCCTACGTAGGACGTATTATCTCCTACGTAGGACTTATTATCTCCTACGTAGGACTTATTATCTCCTACGTAGGACTTAATTTCTCCTACGTAGGACTTAGTATCTCCTACGTAGTACTTATTATCTCCTACGTAGAACTTAGTATCTCCTATGTAGGACTTATTATCTCCTACGTAGGAGTTAGTATCTCCTAAGTGGGTATCTCCTGCTGTTTCCTTCACTATGTCCTACGTAGGAGATACTTTGTCCTACGTAGGAGATTCTATGTTCTACGTAGGACTTACTATCTCCTACGTAGGACTATTTTCTCCTACGTAGGACTTAGTATCTCCTACGTAGGAGATAGTAAGTCCTGCGTAGGAAATACTATGTAGCATGTAGTACTTAGTATCTCCTACGCAGGACTTAGTATCTCCTACGTAGTACTTAGTATCTCCTGTAGGAGATGATCGATATACGTTAATATACATTAATATGAAATGGTCGACTTAAATCCCCAGGCACGCACACAATCTCCTGTTTCACTGTTTCAGTCACTGTTAGAGTCTACAGTCATTCGTATCATTCTCTATTAGAGTCTACAGTTATGTGTTTCATTTACTGTTAGAGTCTGCTGTCCTTCACTATTAGAGTAATGTGTTCAACTAATTGTTGCACATTAGTACTGTGTTGGACCGACTGTTATACTTTACTGCCTTGCGTTCAGTTTGCTCTACTATTACGCGTTGCACTTAGTTCACTGTTATATGTTGCACTTTGTTACACTTTACTATTATGCATTGGATATTTCAGAGGTCGTTGCACATGAATCATAACGTGCGTGTACAGACGTGTCTTAGACTGTCGGTGGCAATCTATGTGTACGTATCCCCTTATAATTATACAAACAACTGTAATGACAATTCAATGCCTTTTTGAATTTTCGTATTGTTTTACGCCTCACTCAACACTTTTCCACCCCAGAGAGAGAGAGAGAGAGAGAGAGAGAGAGAGAGAGAGAAAGAACGTGAGAGAGAACTTGCGAGGTCGAGACACACAGAGAGAGAGAGACGCACACACACGCGCACACACACACGCTGGGACTTTTAGATAACCATGGGAGGGAATATATGTATGTATGGTAGATTAAACATAACCATACCCAAACCTACATAATTGCAATTAGAACAGGTTCCCCGTCACCCTAACGTAACACACACAATAACACTGTATATTAACACTGCGTTAGTGTCATGAATATTCACTGACTACTATCTAACGTCCTGCATAGACAAACATTTCTCACCTCATTAACCATACTTCATAATCCGTACCTTAAAAAGGATATATGAAGTACTACGTAGGATATATGATGCCCTACGTAGGAGATAGTAAGTCCTACGTAGGTGATACTAAGTCCGACGTAGGTGATACTAAGTCCTACGTAGGAGATACTAAGTACTACGTAGGAGATAGTATGTCCTACGTAGGAGATATTAAGTACTACGTAGGAGATAGTATGTCCTACGTAGAAGATA